GGGTCACCAGGGTCGCGGCATTAGCGAGGTTGAGAACCACTGTGTTAAATGAATCAAATCTCTACTTGAAATGTTCTCAAAATGTAGGTGGGATAGACTCAGAGTTGTGTTTTGGCTCTCATCTTGTTTGAATTGTTTTTGGCTTCAACCTGAACTTCCATAAGAGCAATTGGCGGTCTGTTCCGTAATCAGCCCTTGGATTTGTTGTAGCTACTGATATGGAGTTTCTCCATCGTCTATTCCCACAGATGTAGTCAATTTGATTTCTGTGTATTCCATCTGGGGAAGAGCATGTGTACAGTCAGCGCTAGTGTTGTTGAAAAAATGAACAAGTCATTTGTCTTGTAAAATTCTATTGTGTGATATCCAGTTTTGTTTCTATAACTAATGCAATACTTTCCATCATCCCGTCCTCTTAGTTTCCAACTTCTGTATTTCAATCGCCAAGAATTATCAATGGATCTTGATTGCATGTTTGATCATGCAATCAAGATACATTGATCATACTGCACTCTGGCTGACTCGTTTCTTCCTTGTGACCCTTCTGCGAGGGATATACAATAGTCTACAGATGGCTTTGGGTCTCCACTCCAACCCTCCTAGTTTGCATCAATATGATTGTAGAGGCCCAATGTCCACCTGCTACCTTAATACTTAACATATATATGTGCATAAACCTATATCCCTATTATTATATATTAATATATTTATATATATACATGCCTATATTTTTACCTCTTTGAATGTCTTTTACTTTCTAATTCTTACTCTGTTAACATTCATCTGTGCAATAGCATGTTCTAAGTGCCCATAGTAATTCTCATTTTGTCTATAAGTATAAAAAATTAGACAGAACTATGCTTGTAATATTGATTTATTCACTTAATACATCTCATACTTTGGATGAAATACATTTTTATTCCCCGCACTTGCTACTTAGGTAAACAAACATATAGTATAAAGATAAAAAGTGCCAAACAACCAGAGGGTAACAAGCTATCATTCATTTCACCTTTGCGTGATGCCCCAAATTCCTACAAGATATTATGAGTGAATTATGCAATCCCTGAGACTGCTCAAAGAGCTGAACAGATGGTCAGAACAGTTGCTGTACATTCGGCAGAACAATCCATACATTAATTATATCAATCATGGAAAGGGTTTTTTGAAAGAAGAACATGATATGTTCAGAGAAAAGAAGTCACTTGTTTCTAATATAGCAAACACAATGACTATTGTCTAATTGACATACCTCTAAAGGGATGGGACCCTACTACTACAATGTGAAGATAGTCAAAGATAAATCACACAGCCAAGATGATGATACATGGATAAAAGTGAAGAATATTGCAACTGAGGACACCAATCAAGAAGCAACATGGGAATATATTAAATAGCAGTTTTATTGTTTTTTTGGGTGAGGCATTATTTAATATTTTTCATTAATATATTAAAACTCTTCCTTATAACATAATCTAG